GTGATGAGAGCTACTCTTTGCACAACTTTCTCCTAGGGTTGTCGCTTTTTCTTTTCTCCCTCAAATTATGTCTTTCTTTTTTATCCCTTTCTCATTCTCTCCTTTTTATAATGACTAATTCTAATTTATTTTTATTTTATTCAAATTAATTCCCTTATTTTCTATTAATTCTCAAGTAACCCCTTAATTTCTTAAATAATTATAACCCTTCATAATCCTATTATTTTCAATATTTTCATATGAACAATTCAGTATTTGTATTAATATTTCTCTAAATAATAACACATAATAATCATGAAACACACCAAAAATCAAATTTAAAGAATAAAATTAAAAATACAAAATTTAGGGTGTTACACACTTGTTCAGGATACTTACAAATATAGTATACAGTATCTAATAGAAGTTTAGTAACATTATGGATGTAGTTAGACAATGAAAGTACTCAATACCATTAAATGCTTCAATATGATATTATTCTACATGTGTATTCTGTGGGGTATTACATTATAGATCTATCAGCCTATTATAATGAATTTTGGTGGCCTTTATTTCAATAAAATCAAGTCTTTTGGATATTAAACGGGGCATCAGGCTAACGCAAGGAATTTGGTGAGCCTAAGTCATACATATATGTTAAAAAATTGCAGTTTCTATAATGTTGGGAACTGTAAAACTCTTTGAATACATCAAATTTGGAACCAACTTATTTTGGATGACGACACTATACTCTTCAAAAAGAGCTACAATCTTGTTAATGTCAAATTTATGCTTGCTATACGAAGGCATCTAAGATAGAGCCTCTGTGAATGAAATTTCAATTTGGAGTTTTTTCAGCAACTCTACAAAATTCTTAAAGAGTGTCTCTATCTAGGCCTTCATAAGCCTTTGTGGAAATAGAATTGGTGGTTTATACGGAGGGGGCTACATAATGTTCTTCTTTTTCCTCTTCTTCAACAACCTCCTTTTCATGTGGTATTGGACCACTCTCTTTGATTTTAGCCTCATTCTTTCTATCTGCATCCTCTAATTACTTACCACTTATCAGCGTCACAACAATTACATAACCTTTTGGGTTTTTTTCACGCTATCACAAAAATGTTTCTGTAGAAGAAGATGAAGCTACTAGCTGATAAGCTATATTATTTTTGTTGGGGGGAGATACTAGGAGAATCGATCAATAGTGTATGAATAAGCACCTTTTGTGAGAGACACACCACTTATCCACCTAAAACCTTAAGGTGATAGGTGAGTGGGTTCTCCCACTTATATATGCTTAAGTCTCCACATTCCTATCCAATGTAGGACTATTTCCCCACATACTCACACTTGCTATATTATTTCAACACTCCCCCTCAAGTGTGAGTCCACAATGCCCCCCACTTGTACCGCACCACTTTTTGGGCGAATTTCGATACAAGTTCCTTTCGGTCCCTTTCTCGAACCAAAGGCTCATGATACCATGCTGGGGGGAGATACTAGGAGCATCGATACATAGTGTAGGAATAAGCACATTTTTGAGAGACACACCACTTATCCACTTAAAACCTTGTTGAAATAATATAACAAGTGTTAGTAAGTGGGAAAATAGTCTCACATTAAATAAGAATGTGGAGACTTAAGCATATATAAGTGGGAGAATCCACTCACCTATCACCTTAAGGTTTTAGGTGGATATATGGTGTGTCTCTCACAAAAGGTGCTTATTCTTACACTATGTATCGATGCTCCTAGTATCTCCCCCAACATTTTTGTTATTTGTAGTTATAGATTCTACTTTATATGCGAATTCTCTTATGATTTATTTGTGTGTATGTTTTGATTTTTAAATTCCTCGTTCTACGTGGTTTGAGTTATAATGAAATTTTCTATTAGTAGTATATCCCACTTGTCTTTGCAATCTAGGAGGTCCCATAGCTTGTTGGGGAGATTTATTCTTATAGGAAAGGTTTGGATGGTCTCTCCTTCCAAGGTTATATGTGTTGGAATAAGGATTACCTCTCTAGTTATCCCTATAATAATTAACACTATCTTTATATATATATATATATATATATATATATATATATATATATATATATATATATATATATATATATATATATATATATATATATATATATATATATATATATATATATATATATATATATATATATAAACAATTATCAAATGATCCATGTATTCTTTGTTTTCCTTTGTTGATCTTCACTCTACAAGATTTTCCAAGTACATATGGCTCGCAAAACATCAGTTTTTCGAATTTGTCTCCACCAAGCAAATTTTATTTCCCCAATTCGAATAGACCCTTTTCACTGACATGGCCCAACCTCATGTGCTAAATTTATGTCTTCGATAAAGGTTTCGTGGATGCAACATTTGTCAAACCACTAACAACTTCATCCTCAAGGGTATACAAGCCTTATTTATTCATACCTCTTAAGAATTCCTTCTAACCCTTCGTGACTCTTAAGATACTTTTCTCTCCTTGAAAAACATATCCTTTCTTGTTGAATTCACCACGAGAAATCAAATTTATCTTCAAATCAGGTATATACCTGACTTTAATCAACAACTTTATTGACTCATCATGGAGCTTGAATGTCAAAGATCCAACACCTACAATATTACCGGATTTGTTGTTTCCCAACAATACGTATCCATCATCTTAATCACATAGTTCCTCGAACAAGTCATTGTTTGGATTCATGTGTCAAGTGAAACCTGAATCCATAATCCACTCTTTTTTAGAGTCGCTGCTTGAAACCCCAAGAACATCAGATGAATCGAAATTATCTTGAACAATGGTTGCGTTGCCATTATCCTTACCTCCATGATCTTCCAAGTATTTAGGTAACATCTTTCTTGTGTCATCCTCCTTCTTACAATGATAGTATCGAATAACAGATGCCTCACCTCTATAAGACTTATGCTGACTTTTACCTTTCTTTTTGTCGAACTTACTATCCTTTCGCAAGAATTTTCCCTTAACGGCCAAACCTTCACCAACCACAAAGGTTTATGCTCCTTTTGTTCATTCAAGTCCTTAGAATACAGAGCAAATTTTACTTCTTCAAAGGTCAGAGACTCTCTTCCATACAAGAGGATTTCTTTGAAGTGAGCAAGTGATATAGGCAACGCACATAACAACAACAAAGCTTGATCTTCATCATCAATCTTCACATAAATATTTTCCAAACCAAGAATCAGCTTGTTGACAATATCCAACTGCTCAGCCAACACTTTGTCTTTAATAATCTTGAATGAATATAATGCTTGCTTCAGGTAGAGTCGATTTACCAATGATTTTGTCATGTACAAACTTTGAAGTTTCACCCATAACCATGCCGTCGTAGTCTCCTTTTAAACCTGTCGAGGAACCTTATCACCAAGGCTCAACAAGATTGTGCTATGGGATTTCTTTATCATGGTTGTCTTCCCTGTAGAGGTTAACATATCGTTCATGGTTGTCTCTCCCTTCAACACTTCCAAACAACCTTGTTGAACCAGTAGGGCTTTCATCTTCAAGCACCACAGATCAAAATCGTTCACTCCGGCAAACTTTTCAATCTCATACTTTGTTGAATGCATCTTATCCACGCTCACCGCACCAATTTGTTGTGAAAAATGATACCTTGAAACAAAGTATAAACTATTTATTTATGATCAAGAAACACCCAAGGGTAGAAAAGCTGGAAAAACAAGAAGAACACAATGAATTGATTATAACTATTATTCTTTACTTTCTATTAAATCAAGATTACAAGTGTTGCAAGAATAACAAATAACCCTCTCACCTTAAATTAGGATTTGCAATATGCAATGATGAGAGACTAGTATGCTATTTATAATAAAATATAACATACTAAAATGGTGGATTTTTTCATAAATACACATTACAAGCTAACTTAGGGTACAAACTAACTTAAGCAATTAGACATAACAGACTTTATTCAAAATTTGTTATAAGAAAAACTGAAAATGCTCTGATATTAGAGTGATATTTGAGCTTAAAAGACTTGACGGTTAAACTGAGGCTACAATAATGTCTCTAGTTTATTCGAAAAAATTCTTTTTAAGAAGTAGCTTCACTTAAAGGATCCTTAACAAATGAATCATGCTACAAAAGTAGGTGACTCATATGTTTAATACAAGATCATTTGCTATAAAAAGAGATATGATCATTTATATCTATTATATTTATGCAAGAACATGAATTCTCATAACAAAATGAAAAACGAGAGCTTACATGAACGAGTGACAAAAATTGCAGTCCTAAGTATATCGTTTATGAATATTTGAATTAACCAAAGACCATTTTAAACCAAATCGTCATAGTTTTAGCTAATTATGAAATATTTGAATATCGCAATCATATAAGTCCCCCAACAAAATAATACTTCTTACTAATTTGATAGAACCATACACTTGCCTCTTATCAAAGTCTTTGATCACTTCCTAACTCTGTTTACTAAAATTATAGGGAATAGTTTATTTAAAATTTTCAGAAATAACTTAACTCAATTTCTTATAATACCTTGTGATTCTATGCTCATATCAAAATAGGTATAATTTGATTTTACGTGACTAGTTCCTTAAACATCATAGTAATCTGAGAACCTAAACCTATCTGAAAAGGGAACACGAGGGAGCATACTAATTAGAACTACCCTATAAGTCAGTTCTCGGCCTAAGACAACAGTAATGAAAACCCCAAGAAGAAAAAGAAAAATAAGAAAGACAAGAAGAAAAAGAGTAAGAAAAATGTTTCTTCTAGGTCAAAACTAGAGACCGGGTCTAGCGTGCCAGAAGACGATAGTAATGAAAAACTCAAGAAGAGAGCTAGAAATACAAGAAGCTGAAGAAAGTGAAGACCATTGCTCCGTCAGTACCTTGTAGCCTACCTAGGGAGTTTGATATGAATTAGCATGCTGACGAGGAGGATTCTGATGAAGATGACATAACCTATGGTGAGTTGTTGAAGTAGGTCAACAAGGGCAATGCTGAGTCAAGGAAAGTTAAAACTATGGAAGAACATGATGATGGAGAGGAGAATTGTAACAAAGGACCAATGCAAGAAGGTTGAAGAAGACGTTGCTGCTGAGATTAAGAATTATGCAGAAGACTCAAAAGAATCTGAGTATGTAGATGAATCTGAAGAAGAGAATGAGAAGAGCATTGATGAGACACCAATCATTAGTCTATACAAAGAGATGACACTTTAGAAAATCAGCAGCATTGTCCCTAAGAAAACACCATCCAAGAGGCAAAGTCCGACAAAAATATCCCTATTACAAAGAGCTTTGTAAAAGAAAAGGAGGTGGCTACAACTCTCACGACTGAAGTTATTAGTGAGGCGTCCAAATCAGCAAAACTAATATCATAGGAAGAAGTTGAAAGTAAGAAGGATGAGTAAAAGAAAAAGAAAGAGGACAAAGCTATTAGGAAAAGTAGTAGGCTTCGTGCCTAGCTGGTATTTTTTTCTCAAACCCGACAGGTTGAAAAGTCATGGTGTAGCACTACTCATCAAATGACAATTAGGATCATGTCCTTACTCTAAGTTTGGGAGTGTGGCAACTTCTATCGTGACATCTGTTTACCAAACCCAATCACCATAGTCCTCTGTTAGCTTTAGGTTTTCATTCTGTAATTTTAGAATTCATGTAATTTAAATTATATTATTTCAACTCTCATTCAAGTAATGAATGAAATTATGTTTTCTATTTTCTGTTTTCTGTTTTAATTTTCTTTTACACAATTTTTATGTTAAAAAATTGAAATAAAAAAAAGGAAAATAACTAACTGCAGCCTAAAACAACAGAAATTCTAAAGACTTAGAATAATTCTAATTGGACTATGACAATGTCAGAAACAAGGTCTTGATAGCTAATCAATGCACCTTTTTGTGTTTTATGATAACCCTTGTCGTGGCTCTAGTAGTCAGGAAAGTAGAGAGTCTTTTAATAAGTTTGAATTGTTTTAAAATATGGAATGAGAATTCAAGGTAGGATTTAGTCTAGGGGAGTATAATACTATTTTTTAAGAATTAGTACAAAAGATACCCTGCATGTATAAATGAACACATAAAAGTGTATAATAATGCTACTGTGCATGATAAATAAGTTATTGTTCCCGAAATTTGAGAAACATATCATGTGCCAGAAACCGGAGGAACAAGCAAATGTATTCACTATTAGTAATAAGTTGGAATCATTATAAGTGAGATCTCGTCGACTGAAATGGTGGAGCATCTAGCAAAAATGTATCAGTAATTAAAATGCATTTGTAAGCCTCAAGTTCAAAATCAACAAAAATTTTAAAGCAGAACAGTAAAATCCCCCTTCTGAAACAGAAAGAAATGAATTCTTGGACCAAAGAATAAGATATCAAAACTTGGATTTAGACTAGCTATCTTAACTGAAGAGTACTGGCATGACATGAAACATCAGTAAAACACACACACACACACTATCTGAATAATAACAAGACTGAATTGTGCCAACTTTATAAAACAATCCTCGAGATAAATTCTGAGTTGATTGTGATTTGTGTTGTTAGAGTAGGAAATGATAGGCAGTAAAGTTTCTCTATTGTTACTTGTTGCATCACCTAAGGACAAATAATCATTCAAATTTGGGGGTGTCATAACCCATATTTTTTGAGTTATTACAAGTCCTAAAACTTGGATATTATTATTTAATTATTCATTCAATTGTTAAATTCATAGAATTTTCTGTTAGAAATTTGGGTATTATAATCCTGGATAACTTCGAAGAATCGTGTTCGTACACTTTCCGAATAAAGTATTTCGATCATATTTCTTGCATGGGTTCACGAAATCTTTGTGGGGATAATTCTTGAAGAACAATCTGTTTCTGGCAAAAGAAAACTGATTACAAATGTAGAGAGAAAGTATTGTTTTTCGTTCGTATCTGAAACCGAGGCCAAATGACTCCTTATATAGGAGATCAATAACTGAAACCGAAAAGACACACCTGTTCGGAAAAACGGTTATGTCGGTTGGGGACCGAAAAGACATACCTGTTCGGAAAAACGCTGCCCCGCACCCCGCCAGGGGCTTCGCCCCTTGGAACCCCGTTTCAATTATTCATATTCAAATATGCATTGGCTCGACGAGCGTGCACTCCGCACTTCCCTAACTCGTTTCCGAACTTAACGCATAATTGCATCGGCCTTTAGTAAATCACATTACTACTAAAATACATTGGTGATACTAAAATCACCAACATTTTCTATTTTTAGAATAGTTTGTTAAGAGTACAATAGGTGCTCTCTTTTGTAGCTTTTAATTGTTTGCTTCTCTTTGAAAGGTTATTTCTGATGAGGTCAAGCATGAAACCCTGGGACAGCAACTGGTAGTCAAAGCAAAGTAGGAGGCTAGAAGCAACTGAAAGAAAAATAGAAACAATAATTACATTTCTAGGGAAAACGTATAAAAGAAACTCTTGATAAATGAAGAGGGAGTCTTGCATCTGTTAGAAAAATTTCTCACGCCCATGATCCAAGACAAATGGTAACACCCTAGCTAAGCACCTATAAAAGAAACTCTTTTTGATAAAAGAAGAGGGAGTCTTGCATCTGTTAGAAAAATTTCTTTAGAAGAAACCACTGGTGAAAAGAGTTGAGTAAAAATGGAATTTCATTTTCTCATCATCTCAAGTGCTTACTGTTGACTTCTGGCGGGATATAAGTTGTCTCTTGTTGATTATCTATCGTAAGAAGACAATACATTGCTCTTAGGTTTTTATTCCTTTTTCACTTTGTGTTTAAGAATAATTAGCTCAAGGACTCGAATAGTAGTTTGTACTTAATTCATTATGAGTTAAACTTTTATTTGTTGAGAAATAAAAAGTTGAAATAATGTAGTTGTTATGCTAAGTGATTGAAAAAATAAAGATAAAAGCTTGTTGTTGCTAGAGATCTTACAACAAGCAGATTTCATGATAAAAGTGATTGAAAATAAAATGATAGAGATATTCACTAGATTAACTTCTTAGAGATAAGTAGTTACAATCATAAAATATTTTCAGAGTAAAAAATAGACCTGCTTTAGGGTTACAAGTGATGCTTAGAGATTTGTCCCTTTGACCTAAAGTATATGCTTTTGATGTTGTAGAGATACATCTTTATATTAGTTTGTGGTCTTTCTTGGCACGACACAACATATCATCTACACGTAGATGACTATGTTATATTAATGAATTATTTCTGAATATTCTCTCCATTATAAAATTCAAACCACCTTTTTAGCATTGTTCTATATTTGTTTACTATTAAATTGAACTTGTGACAACTATATATTATTTTTATCTTGCTCATACTTATTTACAAAAAAATAATTCCTTGCAAAAGTCAACCTAAGTTACATTCCACTCCCTTTAGGTTTGATATCATTACTTTTTATCGTCTTCTACTTAAAGACATACATGTATAATTATATATGACATCACATGTTTTCAACAACATTTTGCGAGGTAGGCGATAGATAATTTTTGTAAGAGAGGCTCCACTTTCTAATACTTACTAGGGGTGTTCATCTGTTGGGAAAAATCGGAATCAAACTGGAATCCAAATCAAACTATGGTGTTGGGTCGAACATTTTTTTAGTTCGAGCACAAAAGCAAACTAATGAAATCTCATGTTAATTGGTTTGGGCAACAAATTTCCAATAGTCTACCCGCGAGTCCGTCTATTCGAATTAGCTATATTAATTCATATAATTTATATCATCATTATCAAGAAAACTATTATAAGATGCTCAACTTCAAGAAGAAAAAAATAAACGTCATTTGTGACATTCAAAACCAATACGGTGAAACGAATAAAAATTAAGAATTTTATATTATTATAAAAAATTAGTTGATAAAAATTATATATTTAAAAAAAATTATTTTTACATATTTATTTCTAATGAATCTGATCAATCCAACACAAACCAACTCGTTACTTATCGATTTGATTTTGTTTATAAAAAAAATGAAAATTCAATTTAAATCAATCAATATACTTTTAATCGGTTTAAGTATCAAACTGAACTAAATAGACAAATACTAATAATATATAATAATATATATCAATGTGTATACACAACTAGGTAATTCGACCTTTAATATTTTTATATATTCATATTTTGTACAGTAAGAACACATAATAGCATCATTATTTATGCTTCATGTTGTTGCATAGATACCATTAAAATATAGTTATGAATAATCTTAATTCCTACCTTATCCTTGTTTATAATTCAATTTTTAGATAGAATAAATCTGATATGATTAAATTAGTATTAGGGATCATTACCTACCTTAAACGAATATTTTAGGACTTAAATGACACATTGAAAGTCAATGACTAAGATCAAATATCCAAGGGGTGTGCTCCTGGCTTCATAATTCAGACCATGATCTCCTTAATTCAAATCTAGAAACTCAGAAAACATGTTTTCTCACATCCAAATCCTCACCAATTATGTCCTAGCACTCCCTAAGTTATTTGTAAAGTAAACTTTGTGAGATGTGCTTTCGTTTTTGTCTCTTTCATTTTTTTTTCCATACATAACTTATAAAATATTACTTTTTCATATATTTAGTTTTAAGTTAAATTTATTGTTAAATCAATATATTAGTTAAACATATTTATTTTGCGTTTCGTTTTGATTGTGCGATCTCTCTCTCAAATAATCTACTTAATGACTATCTATAACGTATTTTTGGTAAAGTTTCAACAAAATGAAGAATGTCCACATTTTTAGACAGATATTTAAGTGTTTATCTTTCCGTTTTTTTAATGCACACATGCATGAAAATACAAATGATGTTTTTTTGCTTAATTTTAATATAAATTATTTATATGATGAAACATGATATTAAATTTTGTTTAATATATATATGACATTAGACTAATATTGCATAAACTATAGATGTCTACAATAATACAAGTTCTTAGATATGCCTTCTTTCCTTCTTGAATAGAATTAACATATATTTTATTGTCAGATAAAAAATAGTTAAATACGTTTTTAGTCCTTATAAATATATATTTGGTTCATCTAAAATTTTCTTTTAAATAATAGTCTTCTTAAAATTTTCTATTCACATTTTTTGATCCTCCTGCAATTTAACTATAATTTAGCTGCGATTTAGCTACAAATTAGCTACAATGTTTTACTTAGCGAATGTATTAATAGCTAAATCGTAGTGCTTCG